GTGTAGACTGCTTGGCTTGATTGCCCACTGGAGCTCGAGTTGTCTCCTTCCTTCCCCTCCCCCTGCTCTCAGCAGCTGTAGCAGCCCAAGCATCTTAGGTCTTTCAGCCCCATCACAAGATTTTGGTGCCAGCTGCAAGAGTAGCTCAGCAGATTCTAGGACACGCTGACAATGTCTTCATTAGCCTGTATCTTGCATCAGAGGGAAAACATCTTGAGACTATGCCCATGGCCAGTAAAAACTCACCACTTCAGCACACCCCAGCAAATCAATAAAAGCTTGCTTTCCACTTTGTTGGGAGAGCAGACTTTTCACTCTCTCAGTTGGTGCTATCTCCCTTCSACTCTCAGTGAAGCCCCCAATTAAAGCTTACCTATGTGTTCATAATTCTCCACTCGGCCCCATTTCTATCATTTTCAAGTGGAAACATCCCATCTCTGATAGCAAAAGCTACCACAGACACTGGTCAAAATAATATCTCTAGGGTGGGGTACTGGGAAACTGGAGAGTTAAGATGACAATTTTCACTTTTGTGCAGTTTAAATTTTTACCATCTGTGTTATTTTTTTTAAATGAGAATATAAAAAAACAGAAGGGTCTAAATTATTTTCTTTTTAATTTATGGCATATTTTTATTTGTATAAATACATATAAACACATTGAAAACATATACACTGAATGTCATGTATTAACTCCTTTAGATTCAGACATGGAGCCTAGGAGTGGAAACAGATGCTGAAAATAGGCACTTTATTTTCTTCCTTCCTTCCTTCCTCCTTCCTTCCTTCCTTCCTTGCTTCCTTCCTTCCTTCCTTCCTTCCTTCCTTCCTTCCTTCCCTCCGAGCTTCCTTCCATCCTTCCTTCCTTCCAAATACTGGGATTACAGGCTAGGATTAGACTCAGGGCCTCACACATGTTAGGTGAGAGTTCTACCATTAGCTACATACCCAGCCTTTTTTATTTTTTATTTTGAGACAGGGTCTCTCTAAGTTGCTGASGCTAGCCTCAAACTTGTGATCCTTCTGCCTTAACCTCCTGAGAAGTTGGATTTCAGCTCTTTTGGGAACCATTCAATATTCTTTATAGTATGGGGCACAGTTAAATGTAGAAATAATTCTCAGTTATCTACCTTTTTGCTATTGAAATCCT